TTACATTTCTGACTGTATATCCCTGTAATTATTACACACTGTAGCTTTAAAGTCAGCAAAAAAGTCAAATAAATTACTTTGCACCTTCTGAGTTCCTTAGCCAACCAAGGCAGCTCATCAAATAAAATCATTTTATGCTTTAAAGTCGCAAAATACCCAAATAAGCTAAGGTATAGTCAAACATATCATCACAACATTCCTGTTTGGAATGAACATTGGTGATTAGTGTCAAACATTTTGATAAGAAAACAGAAGATCTTCATGCTATCCTTTTTTTTATTTTTGCCTATAACTGGTCACATATCCAGTCACATACATAGTTTTATCACTATAGCCTTACGTTTTCCAGTTCCTCCCAGTCAGTTTCAAAGTTGTTGTCAGTGATGTATTTCACGGCCAAGATGCCCCTCTTCTTCTGGGCTTCGTTTCCAACAAAGCTGGTCTTCAGTAAAAGGGAGCATTAGAGACATCCTTCAGAGTCAGTGTGTAGAAATATTTGCAAAGCCGAATGCTCTGAAAAGCAGTCCTGAAAACCTCCTGCATTTGATTACATTTTCCCTGTGCAATTTACACATAACATCATTTCTGGGCATCTATGGTTTGATTTCTTTGTATGTGTGGATTGCATATGGATTGTTACTGACATCTGGTGAAAAACCTGGTAAAACCTCTAGAAATATATTTACTGAGAAAAGGGTGGCATTTTCAATACATCTAATACTTATTTTATAAGCTGTATGTAGCCTAACTGACAGGTTGTGTATATGTAGACAACAGTGTATGGCTCAAATGTTTTCACTTGAGTTAAATGTTTCACTCCCAGACCAAAAAATTATTTTATATTAAAGGAAATGAAATAACCGATAAAAATTAATTATTCTAGAATAAAACATAGAAAATGCATTTTATACAGAATAAAATTGTGAAGGAAAACTGGATATGCCAAACGGAAAGGGTGACGGTGAAAAGTATGAATGTCTCATTTTACACTGCAGCTTAATTTCTTGTGAACCTCATGATGTGTCTTTTAGATTTAAGACTTGTCCTGCTTCCACAACCGTACGGTTGTATATGTGAAGAAATGTCTGTTGAGAGTTTAGTTTTATAGGTCTGTATCCATGTAAACTTAAAGTTTTGTCCCAAGCAGCCACGTCTGGCAGTGTCCCATACTCACTGATGCATCCTGTAAAAAAAGACAAAATAATGTTTCACACTTAAAGATCTTTGACTTTAAAATACATGTTTACATGGAAACTTTACCGTGTATTTGTGGTAGCCATAAATAGATTGCAAGACATGGGAGGGAGCGTCATTTCCAGCAATGCCAGCCTTGAACGTCCCAGACCCATTATCAATAACCACAGTAGGAATTTCATCATCCATTTCTGAAAGGAAGTGAAGAAAAAACAATTACATTTTTAAAGACAACATAAAAACACGGAACCTCTTTACTTGTGGCCTTTAAAATAATACTTTTTAGAAAAAACAGTAGAGCAACAAAGTATTTAGTCAAGCAGTGATTGTGCAAGTTCTCCTACTCTGAAGGATGATATATGTCTGCAATTTTCATTATAGGGATGTTTCAGCTATGAGCGACGAAATGAGAAAGAAAATCCAGGAAACCACATTCCAGGATTTGTTTGTAAACTATGATGGAAAATAAGTGTTTTGTCACCCACAAACAACGAAGATGTCTGAACCTCACAAACATGGAAATTATTCTTTCACAAGCTCTTCTGTTCTCCACACAATAACCTTGTGATGGCACCTGTTTGAACTTTTTATCTGTATACATTTTTTAGCAGTTTATCGTTTTTTTCTTCACAAATCTGCCCTAACGAAGCACTAACCTTTAATCTGAAATGAGCGGTGCTCATGGAAATGACCATGGACTCAGGGCTGAACTGTTTTAGAGTGGCCCTCTGGGTGTGGATAGTTAAAATTAAAGATCTGAACTCAGTCTAAAACCATAACTGAAAGCTAACACCAATAACTGTCAAAACTTCCAGGGAATCTGAACCCCATCCCAAAGTATTTAAGAAATATGGCCGAGCAGCGAGGGCTCGCAGGTCATCAACTCCCTCAAGGTACTAAAGGGGCGGGTGCTCATATAAATCAAAAGGCACATTTAAAATCCTCCTGCTCAAGGGCCCTGGATTAACTTTTATATAGTCAATATTTACTCTTAAAATAATAACTAACAATCTGATCAAAACAAAATTATTTCTTAGAGAGGAGGGGTTGCTGGGTTACAGCTAAATATTTCAGTTGCAAAATGAATGTTAGGCCAGAACTAAACCATTTAGATAGGATCTAAATACTCAATCACAAACTAAATGTTAAGTTTTGTCAACTACATATTTAATTTCAAGAAAAATATTGTTTGTCAAGTAAATATTTCATTTGAATCTAAATATTTTGGTTCCACACTACATATTGAACTTGCTGAATAAATATTAATAAAAACAAATCAAATACTTTAACATTTAACTTGCTAAAAAAATGACAGAGTGATTATATTACCTTGAAATTTTAACCAGCATGTTTTTTCTCATATTTTAAGCTAAATAAGCCCAATTATTACTGCAAACATAATGTATAATATAGGTATCTTTATAAAGGACACCCCATGGTGAACCAGCAGGTAATCAAGTGCAGTTTAAGATTAATTTGACCAATAAATTATTAAATTAAATCTTTGCTTTTAGCTATAACTTCCTGTGGGATTTTCTTTATATGTGTGTATATGTATTATGTACTTACATGTTACAGTTAGAGTCAAGTTATAAAAATATGCAGTTTTTAAAGTAATAATAGTGCAAAAATAATAAATTTCACATAATTGTAATACCAGCTGCCTACTACAAACATATACGCCATTTCCATCATATGTAAAAACTATTATGCTTACAGATATTTATTATAAGCAATATTTTATGTCTGTGCATACACACCAGCTTCCTGAATAGAGAGGACCACTGAGCAACATCACATGTGTATAGGCGATTTGGCCCACTTAACATAAAAAAATATACAAAACTTGATGTTAATGAGATGTGTAGTATGCTATATGCAGTACTTGAGTTGAGGGGGGATAGCTATGTGGTTGGAGGAGAGACACACAGCAGCACTCAGTGAATATTAACCAGCAGCTACTTCGATGTTTGAGTAAAAGTTAGGAGACGAGCTGTTTAAAATAATTAGTGATTCCGCTGAAAAATCTCTTCGTTAGACATACGGAGCTTTTTCAGTTAAAAATGGCAACAGATTGCAAGTTTAAACAAGTTAGTATTATAACGCAAGAAGCTTGAGAAAAAAACATAGTTTGTTCCTCTTTACAAGTTAAAAAATCTTGGCTTCTCAGACTCACCGTTACAGGCTAAAATGAACATGTGTTTTTATTGTACAGACAGAATCAGACTGCAGAGCTTCTAAGCATCTTGAAATTTTGTTTCTGGCATCATCGTATTAGTAAATAGGTTCATAAATATTTTTAAACAGAGCACAGCAGAGCTGTGGATTTAAAGGTGAAACTGATTTAGTCGGATATGCAACATGCAATAAAATATATTTCCAAGTTTACTAAAAAGTTTACAAGAATAACATATGCTATGCTATATTTAAAATACAGCATATCCATTTCTTTCTGGGTGGAATTGAAGTTGTACTTCTTCTCGACGCTTCTGTCAGTGAGCCCCAGGGCAGCTGTGGCTACAACGTAGCTTGCCACCATCAGTGTGTGAGTGTGTATGTGTGAGTGGGTGAATGAATGTAGTGTAAAGCGCTTTGGTCAAGTCTCCTAACTTGAGTAAAGGCGCTATATAAGTACATGCCATTTACCATTTACCATTTACTTCTAGGGATGCATGATATATAAATTTGGCATTGGAATCAGCTCTTAATTATTTTTTTCATGCATTGATGTTCTTGGGATCTATAGTTGTAATGCACTAAAAGGCATCTCTCTAACATCTATAAATATTAATATCAGTGGGTTGTGGTCTCATGTTCTCAAAAATAGGAAAGCATTCAATAAATAGATGTTTGAGCTCATTTTTGGAAAATTATCCTAATGAAAGTGTAAATGTAGGTCCATGAGCCACCACCCAAGTGTGCCCACCAACTTTCATCACAAAGTAATACTCTGGCAGTGATGGTAGCCTTGACACTGGCAGCCCTGTGCTTCTGCCTGCCTTTGCGGGCGAGCGGGAGGAAGCATGGTAAGGCAGGCGGGTGGAAGCATACCGTTGCCAGGTCAGATTCGTTCACTCCATCCCCAGCTGGCTCCCTGTCCGCCGGGGTTCCTGGACCAGCCCCGGAGCCGACGGCTCGGTTCAAGGGTGACTAGATTTGGCTTTTCAGAAACCCAAAATCTAGTCACCCTTTTAATGCTTGGAGAGTTTAATACAGTAGCAAGAAGCAAATACTGTAACTCAGCCAGATGGAAGAGAGACGAGTGACACAACCATAGACATTATATATGTAGACGCCTTATTGGACGCTGTCAGCAGCGAGGCCGATTTTCCTAAAGGGCGGCCATCTTAGGTCAGACCACAGTTCAGACAGCTGCTATCAGAATGAATAGGAGGTCCCTTCCATCTCATTTTAATCACATCAAAGATAATATCATAATAATACCTTACATGTCACAACCTCATAAATGACCAAAACAAATTCTACAATTACCTTTTAGATAGATTACACATATTTATTCAGATACAAAAAATGTAACTCAATATATACACAAATATATATAATTATATATAGTATAATATAGCTATATTTTGTAATTACAATTACATGATAAACACAAAGTTTCATATTAATACATTAGAAAATTATGTTTTTTTGTGTTTATCTCTCTCTCTCTCTCTCTCTCTGCTTCTCAGAAGGAAAAGGATAAGAAATATTTCTGTGACATACCAGAGAGGTGAAAAGTTAAACAAACAATACTAAAGTGAAAATAGTAATGAGACATTTCCAACAGTGGATGATTGGTCAAACCTCACATTTCAAGTTTTTGCCAATTTTCTTTTTCAAATTTTTCACTTGAAACAAATTTATATTTAAAGCTAGAAAACTCAACAGCCAGGGCAGTTTCTTTACTTACTGACTACCTACTACTGCACTGTTTACCG